ATTTTTTACTTGTTCTTCTACAGCTACACCTTCATAGTGCAGCTGCTTTACCGATTATAATCAGTTGTGGTATTTTGTCATTAGAACACTAGAAATGTTCGTAGATATTTAATCGTTGTTTTTTTTTTAAGGCAAATAGTCTTCATTGAATTTTATTTCGGTAATGAAGACGTTGTGATCGTGGCAAATTGGTCTTTCAACTCACATTTAGTCGTGGAGAAATTACAAATGGAAGCTTTGCATAGCTCATTATTGATGGCAGATAAGTAGGCATTAATATGGATTGCAATTTTCAAGTAAAGAAAACAAACAATGGAACACAAGGCGACAAGAAATACGTACTAAGTATTAAGAAAACAAAAATATAATTTTACATCAAACTGATCTCTTGTAAAAGTGGGCAAGCCATTAGGGAGTCTTCCAGGTAGAAAAGGCACTACATTTTGGGGGAGTATGCGTCAAAAATGCCTCATTATTGTCAAGTCAGTTATATAAATACTTTTGTCATTGAGCTTATTTTCATGCGAAAATTTATCATATTTTCAAGGTCAATATTTGCATTATATTTAAAGTTTATGGCATGAATTCCAATCGAGCATATTTCTCAGTCGGCAATAAAGGAAATATTAATTTAATGCGAGCAAAATTTATTTTGCTTTTAAAAAAATCCATAAATCATCGCGATTTTTATTGCCGCTACAAATATAAATAAAGCAAAACGAGAAACAAAAAACAATAAAATTTAAAATCAGTTATTATTAACGAGAACGTAAAGTGAAACGAATGCACGTGTATGCAAAAACAGCAAGCTGATTTAAATAGGTAATAAAAAAATTTCTAGATGAAGATGAAAACTAGTTAAATTACACAAAACCGGAATATTGAAATTTATAAAAAAAAGAATAAAAATTAATGATGGCATATTTACTAACAAGCTCAGCTCTTTAGAAATGTAGAAGCTCGGCCTAACACGTAGAAAACGTTTAAGCGCCAAACATTAATTTATTGAAATCAAATATGATATTCTGTTCGTACGCAAATAATCTAGGATATAAATTTAAAACTATTTAGGAGTTTCCCTTAAACTCGAAAAATTTATTGAGAGTTAAAGTTTGTATGAAATAAAAAAAACCGGTGTGTTCGATTAAAATGTCGGTTTATTCAATATTCGAAAAGTCAAGCTTTCAACAAAAAACAAAAAAAACACGCTTATAGATATCCAAAAAAAAACGGCGAAAACCGGTTTGGAAAATCGTATTCCTTTATGTTGGGACCAGCACACGACTTTTTCATATCCACCTCGGGAATAGTTGGACTAATTTAGGATAATTTCATGACTAGGTTCGACCTACCCCGAAGTAATCACGAACAAGTCTTGAAACGTTCCCGAAAAGGGCCCTTATTAACCCTTAAACTATCCCAAACTTGATACAAAATGAGAGTAAATAGTCTCGAAATAGTCAAAAACTAGTGCAAACATAATCGGGAACTAGGCCTGAACTGGTTCCGTAACGTGCCCGAACTTGTCCCGAAATTATGCCGAACTAGTTCGGAAAAGGTTCTCAACCGGTGCAGAAACGGTCCGAACTAGGACCGAAATATCTCTAAACTTGCCGTGAACCAGTCCGGAAATAGTCCTGAAATAGCCCTAATCTAGTCGAGAAATGTTCATTTGTACACACAAGAATCAATTACAAATTTTCTGCTGGGTTAACGCAAATTTTATCCATAACAAAATGTAACCTAATACGGTAAAAAATACATCAACTTTTTCGCTAATCTTTCGCTGGATGTGGCTACATTTTTGAAGTGTGAAGCATTTGAAAGTAATTAAAACGGAGTTTAACAGACAGAAAAACAGATTTATTTCTAATTTCAATTAAAGAATCGTAACACAAAGTCTTTTTTCTCGTCTTTTAATTGCTCTACTGCTAATAAAGCAGTGAAGAATTAATCAGAAAGCTGTGACAAGTCAATACAGTGACTTCCAAGTAAATACACTTAGTAACAACAAGAAAAAAAACAAAACAATACTATGCTTGCTGCTGGCAACTGAGACACAATAGTTACAACAACAACAACAACAACAACCACTAGCATGCAATAACAAATGCAGTGTGTAGCCAAGAAAGCACAAAATAAGAACAACAACAACAACAACAAGTCGTTGTACACTCCTTTTGCTTTGCTGAATGTCACTTAAGCACCTGTTGTTGTTATTATTAGTGTTGTTGTTTAGCTTCTATAGTTTTCCACCGATTTTACTTGCATTACTTGCTGCATGCATTAGTTGTTGTATGACTTTGCTTTGCTTTTAGTGCTGCCGCTTGGATTAGTGAAAGATTTTTATGCGATTATGGCGCGATCACGCTGTATGCCTGTTATGCGCTATGAAATGCTCACTGCAACCGCATGCCGCATGCCGCATGCCGAATGCCAAATGCGCGCGACAAACATGTTGCAAGGCTACCACACCACAGCCCAGCCCGCTAAAAAGTCAAACCTCAGCGAGTACCACCATAACGCAGCTGGTGGCCAGCCAGCGCAACAATGGCTTAGTACTCGTATGTAGCAGCAGCAGAAGCGGCAGCAGCAGCAGGTTAGCAAACAGGTGTAATGGTCACACCAAACGGGCTGTGGGCTGTGGGCTCAGGTGCAAGCAACATGAGTAGCTGCTAGGCGGTTTCTTGCTTAAAAAAAAAAAAAAATAATGTATTGGTAAAATAATAATAAAAAAATAAAAAAGCATCTATTTTTATAGTCATTTTTAGCTAAGGCGCGCAAGTACAGTGGATTCTTTCGCAAGACTAAGTATTGTCAATTCTGGCAACTATTTTGAAAGCTCTTTACTGTTTTTCGAAAGACTAATTGAAAGATCTGCTAACGAGGCGGCCTTAGCGTTATGTTGTTCAACTTTTAGCAATAAGTTTTTTAAAAATTAAGTTGAAATTAAAAATACATATATATTTATATTTTTAAATAATAAAAACTAATAAATAAAAGAAAATAATATAAAAAAGTTAAATAAAATGCAAATAAAGCAAAAATTAATAAAAATCAAAGAAACTTTTTTGGTTATTTGATGCGCTGAAATTTTCTATTTATAATGCAAAGAGCTTTATTTAAATTTGCCTAATTTTAGCAAACTATTATCTGATGGTTATTTGTCGGTTATGTACTGGTTTGTTATCGGTAATGCATTGGTGTTCAAACGGTGGGAAATCTCTTATTTAACTTTATCGATCGGTTATGCGTAGATTACTTATCGGCGTGCTTTGTTGGACTCGACCAAAAGCGCTTAGGCTTGAAAAGAGATGACGAAAACTCGTTCCGAAAAAAAAATTATATCTATTTAACTTTACTCAGTGTCAGTGATCGGTTATCTTCGGGGAAGTCATCGGTTATGTACAGGTTATGCATTGTTTATTCAGTACCCTCAAAATTTTGTATTCAATATGGTCTTTAAATATCAAATTATGTCAATCGGTTATTTATGGGTTATGTACCGGTTACTTGCCGGTTATGTACACGTAACCAGTTATATATTAGTTATTTCGCATAATGAAGATTTTTATTTAAACAGATATTTAACATTTTTTGTTCTGTTAGCTGTCGGGTATTTATCGGTTATGTACCGGTTACACGTCGGTTATACATGCGCACATATACATATATATTGGGTATTTAGTAATCTGTTTTTTATTTTTTTATTTAATCCTACGAAGCCAATGGCCTTTAAATATCTTTCTTGTTGATTGGTTATTTGTTGGTTAATCATCGGTTATTTGGTATGGGTACTGCATCTTTTACTCAATCTACAAAGCCATTGCTATGTAAACAGCAAATTTTACCGATCAATCAATTTCAATTCTTAAATAAATCCCAGTATTTTCATACGAAGTAAAAATTACATATTTTAAGAAATAACAAAAAAAAAAAATTTTGCAAAAAATGTCTTAGACTGTTAAAAATTATGTACGAAATTTTATTAAAATTGGATGGAAAAGTTGTCTATATGAAAAAGGAAAATCGAAAAAAAATAAAAAAAAAAAATTTAAAAAATTTTGACTTCCTCTGAAACACTGTAGCTGTTCATCGATTTCCTTTACATTCCCATGATCATTAAATCCTGTTCGAGATTCGCATGAATCGCCGTTTAAAGGCACAGCGCACATTGTTAACTGTAACATATGTTTAATCATCACCAACAACAACAACAACAACAACAAGAATAAACAATAGCAACAACTCCAGCAGCTAACAAAAAGCAACAATTTATTGAATGTATAAGCACATAAATATGGCACGATTATGACAAGTCAATATGGCAATCGCAAGCAGTTAGCGTCTGCGCAAAACGAGAAAAAAAAAACAAATAAAAACATGAGCTTTAAGCTTCTTTGTTTCTTACACTTTAGTTTATGCGATTATTCTTTAAATAAACTTTTTTCTACCAAACGCTTTGTCTTTGCTGCTGCCAATATATACATATGTATGTACTGCTGCTACCTCTCTTGCCACTACTGCCGACTCTTCATTAAATGGCGAAAAGCAAGTGGACACGAAAGCAAGTTATTAGTAATCGTTGTTTGTATGTGGGCACTTGAAAGCCTGAAAGCCAGTAAGTCAACGATATAACCAACCAGCCACTTGCCGCCTTAGCAGCGCTGTTAGTCAAGCGATCGCAAGCAAGCGCGCGGTCGCGCCTCATCGGCAGCAGTGCGGCATTAGTTAGTTAGAGTTACAAGCCTGTGCGGTTTCTGTGTCCGCCACGCTTTTCGCTTTCCGCTTTGCCGATGCTCTACGCTGAGGGACCTCATTTTCCAGCTTGTTAGGTTTTATGTCCGTGGGGATGCTCATTTACACCTGCTTTAACAATTTTTCCGTGGCGCGCCAAGCGCTACGTTGCAAGATTTTCAGATTTTCTATTTTATATTAAACATTATTTTTTCTTCTTTCTGCTTCTTCTCTTTCTTATGCTCGTCATCGTGCAACTTCAGATGATACAAGCGATCAGGAGGAGAATGGTGCTTGCTGTTCACCCATTGCTAGTCAAGAAGTGGCTAGTAACAACACAACAGACCCTGCTGAAGCAAATGCTACAACAGCAATAACAATGACAGCTTTGGATGTGCTTGCTACGCCATTGCACAGCGCAATTGGCAATGATTTGTCTGTTGCGGCGGCACAAGCGCAAGATCGCACACAAAGCGCAGCCGATTTGGCTGAAAATAGCATAACAACAGAAGCCGATACGGCTGCTGCCGCTGCTGCTGCGCACGACGTTGCGCTCAACGAAGATCACAATCACAACAACACCAGAAACAGCAACAGCAATAGCAACAGCAGCGCCAATAGTCTTTCGATGTCCGGTGCATCGCCAACGCGACTAGAACAAGCGCGCGGCACAACGCCTGTGGAGCGCTTACTACAGCTGAAATCGCTTGCCGATGCGGCGGTGGTAGCGAAAACAATGGCAGGTGGCGACAGCGCAGCGTCAGCAATTAGCGCAGCCGGTTCACCAGCATACAACACATATCCGACCGATAACGCTTGTGTTACAAACAACAGCAAATTTGATTCACCCACACACATGGATATGGAAAAGCAAGCGAAATCGCAGCTTTATGCGGCAGTAGGCGCAGCGAAAAAGCGGCGCGCGTCAGCGATGGAAGATGAGGACGACAATGGGGATGAAAATGAAGCAGCAGATGGAGATGGAGCGGAAGAAGCGCAAGTTAAACCAGCTGCAGAAAGATTGGCGTTGAAGCAGCTAACCAGCGAATCGCCAGCTAATTTAGCGACACCAAAGACCAGTGGCTCGGTGAGCAGCAATGCAATGGCTGCAAGCGAGTCAGATGACAACTTAACAAAGCCCATTTCTGCACCACTAACGCCCACCTCAAGCGCGCTCGCCGCCGCTAGCGCATTGCCACAAGCCGCTGCTGCCGCTGCCGCTTTTGGAGCTGCTCCCGTCAATTTGGAAGCCATACAGAATATGCAAATGGCTATCGCGCAATTTGCGGCCAAGACGATAGCGAATGGTGCGCAGGGTGGCGATAATGATGCAGCAATGAAACAATTGGCATTCTTGCAGCAAGCGCTTTTCAATTTGCAACAACAACAACTCTTTCAAATACAACTCATTCAACAGCTGCAATCACAGCTGGCCATGAATCAGCCGAAGGGGTCGAGCGATGGTGCAGACGCTGGCGACTGTGAGGAAATGGAAGAGGAACGCGAAGATGGCGAGGAGGATACGTATGAGGAGGAGGAGCGCATTGCCGAAATGGAATTGCGTCAGAAGGCAGAGGCGCGCATGGCTGAAGCAAAGGCGCGACAGCATCTTATCAACGCCGGCGTGCCGTTGCTTGATGAAAACGCCGACGGCACGACAAAGTCAAGTACATCAGGCGGGGCTAGCGGTTCTTCCGTAGCGGCAGAGTCACTCAAGCGCAAGCGCGAGGATGATGAAGATGCGGACGCCTTCAGCGTTGCTACCAGACGCATGAGCGTAGAGGTGGCGACGCGTGCAAGCGCAGAAGGCGCGCGTTTGAGCGAACAAATACCGACATCATCGGATGCGCTGAGCAAACTGAAAGCGCTCGAGAATATGCCGCTGCCCTATGGTTCGGATTTGGCGTCGACCATTATTACCAATCATGATGATCTGCCTGAGCCCAACTCGCTGGAGATGTTGCAGAAGCGCGCGCAAGAGGTGCTGGATTCCGCCTCGCAAGGCATACTCGCGAACAATATGGCCGATGAGTTTGCGTTTCGTGATAAAAATGGCGATGGCAAGAACCGAAATGAGCCATTCTTTAAGCATCGCTGCCGCTACTGCGGCAAGGTGTTCGGCTCTGATTCGGCGCTACAAATACACATACGTTCGCATACTGGCGAGCGTCCGTTCAAGTGCAACGTCTGCGGCAGCCGCTTCACCACCAAAGGTAATCTGAAAGTACACTTTCAGCGACACGCACACAAGTTCCCGCATGTACCGATGAATGCCACGCCCATACCCGAGCACTTGGACAAGTTCCACCCACCGTTGTTGGATCAAATGTCGCCGGATAGTTCGCCGACGCATACGCCGGCAGCGTTGCCACAACAAATGCCCCAACAGATGCCGCCAGTATCGCTGCCGTTACCTTTTCCGCCAGGCGCTGCCTTTCCCGGACTTCCCGGTCTGTATCGGCCGCCCATGGAATTGCTGAAGTCGTTGGGCAACGCGGGTTTCCCAAATCCATTCTTTCCGCATATGCCGCCAGCTGGGCAGTCACGCGCGGAAGCGCCAACGGCTCGGCATGCATCCAAGGAGAATAATCAAGATATGCCAACTGATTTGCGTAAGTCCTCGGCATCCAATTCACCCGAACTGCCAGTCAAGACTGAAATCACAGAAGAGGAGAAAAAAGAAGTTCGAGCGGAAGCGCAAAAGGCAACCACGTTACGGCCGTCGGAAAGTGCAAATGTTGCCACATCGCAGGACGCAGCGCCGGCCTTGGACATAAAAATCAAAGAGGAACGAATCGATACGGATTCGCAGGACGTAGAGATGGAACGCGCAGACACACCACCTGTACAGCTTTCGACATCACCTGCACGCACCTCCTTATCACCATCCCAAAGATGCGCCAGCGCGCCCTTCACACCTCCAACGCCCACATCCAGGCCATTGGCGTTGCCACCTGTTGTACAGCCAGCGCAACCACCCATATCTAGGCATCCGCATCCCTCGCCAGGCGCCCATAACCACATCGATCACCTGCCCACACCCGGTCAGCTGCCGCCATCTTTGCACCACCGCGACGACTTCTTTGCGGAACGCTTTCCACTGAATTTTACCAAAAATCTGTCGCCCGAACACCATTCGCCCATACGCTCACCCGCGCACCTACAACGCTCGCCATTCTTCAACCCCATCAACCACGAGATGGCGCTGCTACCACGCCCCCACAGCAATGACAATTCATGGGAGAACTTCATCGAGGTTTCGAACACCTCGGAGACGCTGAAACTGAAGGAGTTGATGAAGAACAAGAAGCTCAGCGACCCAAACCAGTGCGTCGTATGCGATCGTGTGTTGTCATGCAAGAGCGCGTTGCAGATGCACTACCGCACACATACTGGCGAACGCCCCTTCAAGTGCCGCATTTGCGGACGCGCTTTCACCACCAAAGGCAATCTGAAAACCCACATGGCGGTGCACAAGATTCGGCCACCCATGCGCAATTTCCACCAATGTCCCGTCTGCCACAAAAAGTACTCGAATGCGCTGGTCTTGCAGCAGCACATACGGCTGCATACCGGCGAGCCGACTGATCTCACGCCCGAGCAAATACAAGCAGCCGAGATACGTGATCCACCACCGTCAATGATGCCGGGCGCCTTCATGAATCCCTTCGCAGCCGCGGCTTTCCACTTCGGCGCCATGCCAGGCGCTGGCGCCGCCATGAGCCACCTGGGCCCACACAATGGCACACTCGGCTCGGAGTCATCGCAGGGCGACATGGACGATAACATCGACTGCGGCGATGACTTTGACGATGATATCTCATCCGAGCACATGTCCAGCGCGCACGACTTGGACGTGAGCGATCGACCGAAATCCAGCGATGACTTCAAAGGCTTGCTCTTCGAACAAAAGCTGCGCATCGATGCCACCGGTGTCGTGAACACCACACCACGTCCGCGTTCGGCTGCCAGCAATGCCAACTCGGTGAACTCCGCGCCAACCAGCCCCAGTTCGGGCGCGCCGCGTCACTGCTCCACACGCACCAGCTCGCCAGCGCGCTCCATGTCCGAAGCATCACAAGGTGCTCTAGATCTAACGCCACGCGCCATGCCAATGCAACAAAACAACAGCAGCAACAGCTCACGTTCGCCAGCGCCGACGTCTGCAGCTCCTCAGGCTGCTGTGGGGGGTCGCAAATCGCCCACACCACCGGTGCGCAACAGCAGCGCCAATAGCAGCACAGCACGAAGCCCCACATCGGCGCCGACGCAAAGGTCGCACCCACAACTGAGTCCCGCAGCTGCGCTCACCTCACCGCTGGTACCACCATCGGCTGTTGACTGCCTGCCGCCGGTGCTGCATCACCACCTGCAGCAGCAACACCAGCATTTAATGCAACAGCAAGCGGTAGCAGCGGCGGCGGCGCATGCGCAAGCTCAAGCCCAGCACCATCATCAGCAGTTGCAGCAGCATGCCGTCGCTTTGCATGCCGAACAGCTAAGGCGCGAACACCAAATCAAGCAAGAGCAGCATCAGGCGGCGCATCAACAACATATGCGCCAACAACAACAACAGCAGCAGCAGGAAGCGGCGCATGCGTCGGCACATTCACCGCATCAGCTTTCGTTGCCGCCACCACACTTGGCGCATCATCTGCAACAACAGCAGCAGCATCAACAGGCGGCGGCGGCGGCGGCGGCAGCAGCAGCGGCGGCGGCGCAACAACAACAGCCCGCAGGCTCGCTACCACCACAGGGACCACAACCACCCAATCCATTGGTTGCAGCGCGTCCGCCCTTCGGCATGTTTCCCAACCTGCCGCTCTTCCCGCCGGCCACAGCGCAAACGATGTGCTCGGCAATGAATACGATTGCGCAGTCGGTAATGCCGGCGGCACCGTTCAATCCACTTGCACTTTCCGGTGAGTACCAAGTTTTTAATTGCTTGCTCTATGCAATACATTGACCCACTTTTAGGTGGTTAGCATTCGTTTTTTTTTTTAGTGAAATTATTTATTAGCTATGCTCAGTTGCGCATGCGTAACTGGTATTTGTGGCTATAAATTTGAGTTTAATTAGCTTCATCTTTTCAATTAATTAAATGAGGATTTTGCTTTATTACCATGCATATCTGTGTGTGTGTGTGTGTGTGTTTGTATATATGTAGCTTGGCCTTTCAAGATTTTAATGCGTTTTCAATTTTCTTTTTTTGCGAAAAAATTTCGCTTTGTAGGCGTGCGAGGGAGCACCACCTGCGGCATCTGTTTCAAAACATTCCCCTGTCATTCAGCTTTAGAAATTCATTATCGCAGTCACACTAAGGAGCGACCATTCAAGTGTACAATCTGTGATCGCGGTTTTACAACAAAGGTAAGTTTTTGAAAAAAAATAAAAAAAAGATATAAACAGACGAAATTCCATAATTTCATTATTTTTTATTGAAAATTTTATTTTGCTTGGCTTTTTAATTTGATTTTTTTAATTTCCTTTTTTGCTTTTAATTTTACCCACTCAAACTAAAAACTAAAATTTACTAAAATTTTTTCCGTTCTTCTTTCTCTTTAATTTTCCGCAGGGTAACCTCAAACAGCATATGCTGACACATAAAATACGGGATATGGAGCAGGAAACATTTCGAAATCGTGCAGTAAAGTATGTAAGTGTTCCAATAATACACTCCTACATTTTTCATACACACATATCGAACAAAAATAAACAGTCACATGCACATATGCACATAAATAACACACCGAGACCATCTTAATCCTAAATTTACCCCCTAATCTGAAAGCTTTAATAAACTCGAAATTGGAAAACGGGTCCTAATTGATTGACAATTTAAAACTTTAACTTTAACTTTTAATTTCGATCACTTTGAAATCGGACATAATTTTTTAGTAACATAGAAATTAGAAATCAGTTTTTGGCCATAAAAAAAGCGAACATAAATTTTTCTTATTTCAAAACACTTTTTGGTCATTTAAACACTGAAAGTAAATATTTGTTAATTAGTAAGTTGAACATACATTTTTGGACATTAAAACCTGGACATAATTTTTTGATTATTTAAAACTGAAAGCGAATACATAGCTACTTAATATGCTGGGCATACAATTTGGGACATTGAAAACTGGACATACCTAAATTGTTGGTAATTTAAAACTTAAAGTAAATAGGGATTAATTAATAAGTAGGGCATATATTTTTGGGCATTAAAAAGTGGACATGATTTTTTTTGTAATTTAAATTTGAAAGTAAATAGTTTTACAAGTTAAGTTGGACATACATTTTTGGACATTAAAACTGGCCATAATTAATTGGTAGATAGTTGATAACTAATAAGTTGGGCATATATTTTTGGACATTAAAAGTGGCCATATTTTTTGGTAATTTAAAACTGAAAGATAATGTATAGTTGTTAATGTGGATAATGCAAAAAATGATGTTCAAATTTTATTGTCCAAAAATGTAT